TTCAGTTCGGAAGGCTAGTTTGGAATACGGCGTGCTGCGAAAAACTTTAGAGAGGCGTCTAAAAACCAAAATTTTCTTATAAGGTACAATGGATCCTTCATCCGTTTTTGGAATAGAACATGAGAAAAGATTAGTTCGACACATTCTTAAAATACAAAAGAATTGTTTCCCACTAACACCAAAAGATTTACGAAGCATTGTGTTTTATTTTGCCGAACAATTAGGCCTAAAACATTCATTTAATAAGGACACAGAAGAAGCTACGTACGATTGGTTGCAACAATTTTATCAAAAGAAACCCCGAAATAAGTACCAGAAAAGTATGAACTATTTGACAAACCATCTAACATTTTCAACAAGGATGAATCGGGACTTCAATTGAATAACCGACCCGGTCATGTACTAGCAAGAAAGGGTTCAAAAGCAGTGTCTACTGTAACTTCTACAGAAAAGGATGAAACAATTACGGTCATTGGCTGTTGTAAAGCATAGATTTTTGTTTATAAAATGAATGAAAGACCATTACTTCAAATCAGAATAATCGAAGAATTACTAAGAGAAAATGAAGAGAGTGAATCAGAGCTCAGCGACCAAGTCTCTGAAACTTCCGATCACATCATTTCAGGGGAACCGCAGTCTCCTGAAAGAATCACTTTCGGAGTCAGATGAAGATGACTTCTTTCAGAAATAAATAGTTATTTCACAGGACGCTTAACGAAATGTCAAATATCTAACAACAACTGAGATCGGCGTCAAGTATTCTTACTGAAGATGCGGGTACTCGTAGAAATGATGTGGGAATAACAACATATATGCAGGCCTGGAGTTTATTTATTTGTAAGAACATTATGGAAAAAAATGTTAGACATACCAACGTATTTAAAAAAAAAAGCGCCATCTCACGACAGAATACGTGACTGCAAACAGACAGATGCGGTGGAAATTCGAGTTCTTTTGGAAATGTTGTGGTGTATTTTTTCTACTACTATGGCAACGAAAAGAGTAAAATCTCTACTCAACTCATTTCGGTTTGATGATGCTACTACGCGACTATCTCGTAGTACTCTGGACCAAGCTGTCTTTTATCGTATTCAATGGGAGAGAATGTTGTATCGATGAGATGATAACAGGAATTCATGGAAAATGTCCTTTTCGACAACACATAAAATCAAAGCCAGATAAATACGGAATAAAACTTTATCCACTAGTAGACGTTTTCAACATTGAAGTATATGCTGGCATGCAGCCAGAAGGTCTATACCAGTTGAGTAACGCTGCGGCAGACGTAGTGAAGAGGTTAGTCTTACCAATTTCTGGCACAGGAAGAAACCTAACCATCGATAATTGGTAAACCAGTGTGTCTTTGGTAAATGATTTGGCCAAGAATCATAAGATATCTGTTGTGGGTACCATGCGAAAAAAGAAATACCTCCTTCCTTTATAGATAAAAACCAGCTTGAATATTCAAGTCAATTTTTAATGAAAGAAGGAAGTAATAAGAAGTACAAAAATGTTAGCTCTTCGATTTTCGCAAAATGAAGCTTTACCACGTTTATGTGTAACTAGCGGGGCAAAAAGAATCTCAGCTAAGGAGCTAATTAGTGTTATTCTTAATGACTATCGTTTGTTGCCTACAAGTGGTCACGTATGTGTTACTAAAATAAATAATAATATAAAAAAAAGAAATATTTTTGGCATAATTTTCTTAAAGATATAATTGAGTATGTGAGTCGTTGTAAAGATTGACAGAGACAAAAATGTTGAAAAAAGATTAGCATAACAACCACAGCATCTGCTTCTTTTGCAAATATTTATCTAGAAGTAGAACGTGTAGGAAATAAAAACATTTTAAGATTACAATGTGAATTATCAAAGTTTGTAGAAGCTTATCTTATTACTGATAAATCTGGTGATAAAATAGCTAGAACATTTGTGGAAAAATTTATTCTAAGAAATGGCATACCTAAAAATATAGAATATAAATGTGCTTCCGCAGCAGTTACTTACCACGTACCCTAATATCCCCCTCTTAGATTTAAGTAGTATATAAGAAGATTGTTTAGTTAAATAGAGATCTACAACCTGGAAGTTAGTAGTATCATTATTCCCTACCGCACTAAACCTATGATACTACTAATTCATGGCGACCGTGACTGCGATGGTCCGAGTCTACAAACTATGGTGTGTGTTGTGACTTGGGACGGAGAACAAGCTATTTTCCTATATACTTATAATAGGATAGACAGCAAATAATTATAACTCCGAAAAAATTAAATAAACTTTGGTTATCAATTGGATATAAAAAAGATGCAAGAAATATTGAAAAAGAAGTCATTGAAGGTTAGCTGCAATGGTTGCAATATAAAAAAAATCATAACGAATAAGAATACGGCGAGAAAACGAAGAAAAAAGTTGAATATGAAAGAAGAATCTGATTCTCTAGAATGTAACAAGCCAAAATGTGGAGCCTGGATACAGAAGAATGAAAATAGGAAGTGTTTATGATGCCTGTAGAGTATTTGATAACTTTGCGTATAAGCAATATTATATTTAAATGGTAAATACAGTAAGTATTACGTCTCGTAACTTTAATAAATATTATAAAGATGCAACGTAATGTGTAAGTTTGTTGTAGTGTATTTTTATAAATAACGGAGCGGTTTGACTTGTTTACGGCTGTAGAATTATTACTTATAATTTCAGGACACGAAGAAGTTACACTATCTTTGATAGATAATATTGAGTACTGTACTATAGTAGTGTTATTGATGAAAATTCGCAACAATAATTAGAATAGTATAGAATAGGTAGTTATGATGGCTCATCCCTTGTCACGTGTTGTAGATGTCAGTACATAATTAGAGAGTATATGTATGCAACATGAGTATCCCTTGTATTAAATTTCAGAAATCGATTATATACTTTGTTGCAATCATTTAGCCAAAACAAAACCATTAATAGCATCCGGTACAGTTACAGAACAAACACCTTTGTTGCATGGAGATATAAAAGAGCTGACAAACGACATTAACAATTCATGATGATTATATTTTAGTAACTCTAGCAGCTAAGTTAGATGTCGGATCAGCCGACGTTAGTATTAAGTAAGGCTCGATCATGAGCACTAGTGTTTAAAAGTAATGTAATAAATATCATACAAAAATATTTTTATGAAGCCTTCCGTTCGCCCACACTTGACTAGGTTTTTATTTTGCAACACACGTTACATACAGTTTATAAATATGACAGAAAAATAATGTGTCACGGTGTGTATCGCCAAGCTGACCTAAGCTCACTATGAGCAGTAAGCTATTATTGATAAATTTTGTCCTGAAAACTAGATTGTCATCAGCAGAAACATTTTATTTAAAGTCTAATAATGATAACGTTGATAGTTTGATTACTGACATGAAAATATGTCTTCTGCCGAAAATTTACCAACCTATATTTAAATAAAATTCAATAATTGTAGGCGAGGAAGTAGGTCTATAAAAGCGTTTGGTTCAGAGATAGATAAATTATTATATGAGTTGCCGTTCGCACAGGCGGAAAATGATAAAACGAAATATAAAATACTGCATCCTTATAAATGAAATGTTAGTTTTTAGATGTTTTTCAGACGGACTGAATAATAATCGTATTAGTATAATATTAATTGCTAGAAATTTGAAATATTTAAAAGGTGCTATACAAGCAGCGTTAGATGAGAATAGTATGTTATATAATAGCCAAAACAAATGTCTTTAAGTCGAGAGGTAATTCTCAAGGTGTAAATATTAATAAAGTTATGAATCATTTAAATAAATCGAGAAAGCAAACGAGGTCCGATTTAGATTTTAGAGTTTCACGTGATAAGCAAACACGTATATAGCTGAAGAGTAGCTATGTAGCTTTAAAACATAGCTACTCTTCAGCTATAGATATAGCAGAAAGTACATTAAGAGTAATGAAACCATTACTGAAGAAAATAAACGACGCTGCGTTGAAAACAAAAAAATGAATCTATTCAACGTGGGGCAGACTCTTCAGAAAGTGATGAAGGAATTCTTTCTATACATGAAAAGTCAAGGAAAGGACTTGACCAATTGTTCTTACAATACTTTCGGGGAGTGGTGTTTAAACGAAGGATTATCCACGACGTATGGGAGGCTCCAATCGATGCGTTGGGAGAACGATTTAGAGACGCAATTATTCGACCATTACAGCTCAGCATTAATGGAGCTCGAAGAACGTCAAGAACAGATGGACGATGCGGGGGAGGAGAATATTCAATACCGGGAATCTTTATCATCGCAGAATATGAAAAGCACTTGCATGTCATCCACGATTGTGCATACTCCGGATCAACATGCCGGTGCCTCCACATCCAAAGGATTAGGGACTTCATTACAGATGCAGACACCGTAGAAGAAATCGAAAGATGGGCCAACAGCCAAACAGTGACGTTCCAGAAGGAAAAGTCTCACTTTTCGAAGCGGAAAATGGTAGATCTGTCCGAAGAGGAGGAAATGGAGTATGTAGTGGGAGATTTATTCCGGAAAGCACAAAAGACAGTGGAGGAAGAAAGCGAACCGGAAGTGGAATTAAGAGTCCCATCATCCAAGAAGAAAAGGAGAGGTTTATCAATGGAATCAGAAGAGAGCATGGACGAAACTCCGAACGACGAAGACTTTTCCTCTATGGTCGCCAATCATGCCCGAGCTCACTCATTAGTAATAAAGGAAGACGACGGACATATCAATATATTGTCGCCGGGAGATCGTGGATCGATGGTTATAAAACTAGAGCTTTACCCTTTCAAAGAGTGTGTAAAACTCAACAAAAATCAATATTGGACGAAGCGAATATATTCGTGTCTAGGAGTGACCTCTGGAGAGGATTTGCGTGCATATAAACTAGCGGTGAAACCAAGATACGAACTGACAAGACAAATAATGAATCTAAAGGATGTCAAAGTAGAGAAAAAGGTACGAACGGGTTGGAAAAGTTTCCAGAATCATTTATAATTACACCAACAAAAAACATATTATATACAGGACATTGGACACATCATCAGCCCTTTTTTATGTCCCCACTGCAGGGGCTTAGGCCTTCCTTATGGATGGTTAAGGAGGATGGGCCATGACCCTCCACGCTGGCCCAATGCGGATTGGAGGGTATTAACGACTGCAAATGCAGCCGGGACCAACGGCTTAACGTGCCTTCCGAAGCACGGAGTAGCTCGAGTCAATTATTTTTTGGTCACCCATCCCGTGACCGACCCCTGCGAAAGTTGCTTAACGACAACGATCGCGGGCCGCGGCGCTTAACCACTACGCCACCGAGCTTAATGTCATTGGACACGAGGACCATTTAAATATATGCCTAAAAATAAAGCAATATTGACAACATGTTTCCATAATATAAATCAAAATGTCGTCGATTTATCATACAGAGAAATATTTTTAAAGTCAAGAAAAATATCAATGAACAAACTGATATACGTTGCACCGTGAAATACTTTTGGAGAATATTATTAGAATATTTCTGATTCAGTAAAAATTGTGGAAGAATCATTAAATTTTCAATTTGACAATAATAGTGATTGGATTTTTACATTTTTTGAAAAATATGTATTATTTAGTAGATAAAAAAGTACCAAAATGAATTGTATATGTATAGTAGGACCACCAAATTCAGGAAAAATATATATAAAATTTATAATATATAGCATATAAAAATATATTTCTTTGGGGAATATTAAGGAAAAGTCAATTAAAAATAAAACCGAGAATTTAAAAAGTAGGCAAGAAATGTGCGCCTGTAGAGCAGTTTCATGGAAAAACCAATTATTATATAGACATTTGCATCTAGGATTTATTTAATAATGAGCAATAAAATCCGCCATGTTTATAAAAACCTCGTCGCTCTTGAAGGGAATAGATTTATTAAATATTTTGAGGTATTTTGAGGCTTGATTATTGATGAAAAATAGTTTGCGAATTTGCATAATCCAAATAAATAAGTATAAAGTGGTCTTACCAAACTTAATAGTCAAATGTTTGAAACAAAAGATCAATACAAATTATAATAACAGCAAATATGAAGGAAGATATGATTAAAGTATAATAAATAGAACCGAAAATAATTCGGATGATTTTGTTGAATTCCAGGAAGGTAAAAATATAGACATAAAAGGGAATTATTTTGAAATAGTATTTGTAGATGAAAGATACGATGGAAATGCAATGGGCATTACTTAGAAATAAATAGTTTAATATTTGATTAATTAAAAATTGTAATGGTAATTGGTAATTGAATGTCAAAAAGTATGTTTATATGAAACTCACGACATTACTAAATTCGATAAACAATAAGTTATGTAATATTCTCATATGTAAATAGCATATAATATAAATAGAAGGACATAAGAGCAGGACCGATCTCGTTGGAGATATTTTGGGGAGGCCTATGCCCAGCAGTGGGCGTCTCTCGGCTGATATGATGATGATGATAAATGTTCATTTAATTTAATTTGACTACAATTTAATTTTCTCTCATAGTTTGTATTAATTTATCTAAATATTTGAATTTGTATTTCTGTTGAAATTATTATTTGTAAAATCGGTATACTTTACTAACGGAGGCGCGCCGAGACGTAATGATAGAAGACTTGATTACAGTATGTAGAAATTATAATATTAGAGAGAGTTTTTAATGAAAGAAGAAATTATAAAAAACGCTCTTCGATTTTCGCTAAATGCAGCTTTACCACGTTTATGTGTAGTTAATGGGGCAAAAGGAATCTAAAATAAGGACATAATTCTTGTAATTCTTAATGACTATCGTTTGTCGCCTACAAGTGGTCATGTAGGTGTCACTAAAATGAGAAATAATATAAAATACACATATTTTTGGCATAATAATATGCATAAAGATATAATTTAGTATATGAGTCATAGTAAAGGTTGTCAGAGATAAAAAAAAATTGTAACATAAAGAACAGAGTAAAATCAGCATAACAACCACAGCATCTGCTTCTTTTGAAAATATTTATTAAGATTTTGTGAGACCTCTAGATGTAAATAGTGTAAACTACCCAATCGTTGGCACTCCACCAATAGGGATGATGACAGTAAACAAAAGTCACTAAAGTAATGCATCTATGTAATGAAATGTAAATTATGGATTGCAAAAAACGTATTTATTTTTTAATTATGAGTGAGATTATTTAATATTTTAATAAAATAAAACCACAAAATACGACAATCCGCCATGTTATATTGAACGCCAATCAGAGCGAATTACGTCACGTTCGACTACAATGACAGCTCTTCTTAGTTTCCCTCTATAGCAAGTGGATAATTTGGTTTGTTTTCATAAATATATTAAATAAAATAGAAAGTGAAAATACAAGAATGGAACCAGGATTTACAAAGGCAACCAGCACGAATTTGCCAAGAGTCGACTTGTTGATTCTAGGAGCGTTTCTAGGGTCAAATAAAGACTTTTGTTCGTCAGAATTTAGGAATGTAAAAACATCCATGTAAGTACAAATCATACAATAAAATCACTTATAAATGAATGAACATAAGACAAAATGTTTCAAAATATTATGTATACTTTCTGTTTTTCAATATACCCTTCAATGAAACTTCTAATATTACGCTTGGAGGTTATATTGCAATTATTCTTTTAATATTTACCTACCAAATACATAGTTGTAATCTGAGTTGTAACATGGTTTTCTTTATTTTAGGTCCTCCAGAGCATCATATGGCGACGATGCTATAAGTTACGTCCAGGTTAAACGGGAAGGAAATCTGTGCATAGTAAAAGGCAAAATCTGCCCAGAACATAAAGTACATGCAAAATTGTATGGAGTGACTTTAGTGATTGATGAACAGGAAGAGGCAGTAAAATCAATTGAATGTCATGATTGTGTGGCTTCGCAAGGAGAATGTAAACATGCAATAGCATTCCTAATGTGGGTTCACCGCAGGAGTGAAGACCCTTCATGTACATCCATCGAATGCTATTGGATAAAATCAAAGCTTTCCAGGGTTGGTACTACTGTTAAATACATAACTGCCAAAGACTTATCCAAGGGTAAGCCTAGCTTATCATCAAATACAGGAGTATTCGAAAAGTTTTTAACAGAAGGTAAGAAAAGGAAACTTACCAATTGTGAGATAATCAAATATCAAAAAGATTATGTTTTTGCTGGACCAGAAGGTTTTTCTATGGACAAATTAGTGCAGAAATATAAAGAAACATCCTGTGACACATTTTTGAGCAGAGTTGTGTTAACTGATAGTGATATCAGCAATATTGAAAAAGAAACGAGAGACCAACATAAAAGCAGCTTATGGCATGAATTAAGATATGGAAGAATAACAGCTTCACGGGCGTACGAATTCAGTCGGTGCAAAACCAGTGATGGTACTCTGATTGCTGTAATATTGGGTGGAAAAATTCCAGACACAACGGCCATGAAGCGTGGTAGAATATTGGAGGATGACGTTAGAAATACAGTCAGTGCCAAATTAGGAAAAAAAAATAAAAAATGTGGTTTAATGATAGCCAAAAACTACCCTATGCTAGCAGGTTCACCAGATGGGATCTGCGAAAACAGCATTATAGAAATAAAGTGCCCTATGAGTGAAAAAACCTTTAAAAATTATATATGTGATGGGAAACCAAGCCAGAAGTTTTATGTGCAGATGCAATTACAAATGCTATTAACAGGGCTTAAAAAAGGCTATTTTTGTGTAGCTGATTGCAACTACAGTACTAATAAGAAAGTACAAATATTGGACATTCAATATGATGAAAAATATGTATCAGATTTTATTAATGTTATAGTTCCTTTATGGAAAGATAATATTTATCCAATACTACATCAAAGTATTTTATAATTTTTGGATTAATAATAAAAAACAATATTATAAATTTGAATTTTATTTAACAGTCTTAAAGATATCCCTATAAAAAGTACATAATTAAGAGTTGCCGTTCGCACAGTCAGAAAATGATAAAACGAAATATAAAATACTGCATCCTTATAAATGAAATGTTAGTTTTTAGATGTTTTTCAGACGGACTGAATAATAATCGTATTAGTATAATATTAATTGCTAGAAATTTGAAATATTTAAAAGGTGCTATACAAGCAGCGTTAGATGAGAATAGTATGTTATATAATAGCCAAAACAAATGTCTTTAAGTCGAGAGGTAATTCTCAAGGTGTAAATATTAATAAAGTTATGAATCATTTAAATAAATCGAGAAAGCAAACGAGGTCCGATTTAGATTTTAGAGTTTCACGTGATAAGCAAACACGTATATAGCTGAAGAGTAGCTATGTAGCTTTAAAACATAGCTACTCTTCAGCTATAGATATAGCAGAAAGTACATTAAGAGTAATGAAACCATTACTGAAGAAAATAAACGACGCTGCGTTGAAAACAAAAAATATGAATCTATTCAACGTGGGGCAGACTCTTCAGAAAGTGATGAAGGAATTCTTTCTATACATGAAAAGTCAAGGAAAGGACTTGACCAATTGTTCTTACAATACTTTCGGGGAGTGGTGTTTAAACGAAGGATTATCCACGACGTATGGGAGGCTCCAATCGATGCGTTGGGAGAACGATTTAGAGACGCAATTATTCGACCATTACAGCTCAGCATTAATGGAGCTCGAAGAACGTCAAGAACAGATGGACGATGCGGGGGAGGAGAATATTCAATACCGGGAATCTTTGTCATCGCAGAATATGAAAAGCACTTGCATGTCATCCACGATTGTGCATACTCCGGATCAACATGCCGGTGCCTCCACATCCAAAGGATTAGGGACTTCATTACAGATGCAGACACCGCAGAAGAAATTGAAAGATGGGCCAACAGCCAAACAGTGACGTTCCAGAAGGAAAAGTCTCACTTTTCGAAGCGGAAAATGGTAGATCTGTCCGAAGAGGAGGAAATGGAGTATGTAGTGGGAGATTTATTCCGGAAAGCACAAAAGACAGTGGAGGAAGAAAGCGAACCGGAAGTGGAATTAAGAGTCCCATCATCCAAGAAGAAAAGGAGAGGTTTATCAATGGAATCAGAAGAGAGCATGGACGAAACTCCGAACGACGAAGACTTTTCCTCTATGGTCGCCAATCATGCCCGAGCTCACTCATTAGTAATAAAGGAAGACGACGGACATATCAATATATTGTCGCCGGGAGATCGTGGATCGATGGTTATAAAACTAGAGCTTTACCCTTTCAAAGAGTGTGTAAAACTCAACAAAAATCAATATTGGACGAAGCGAATATATTCGTGTCTAGGAGTGACCTCTGGAGAGGATTTGCGTGCATATAAACTAGCGGTGAAACCAAGATACGAACTGACAAGACAAATAATGAATCTAAAGGATGTCAAAGTAGAGAAAAAGGTACGAACGGGTTGGAAAAGTTTCCAGAATCATTTATAATTACACCAACAAAAAACATATTATATACAGGACATTGGACACATCATCAGCCCTTTTTTATGTCCCCACTGCAGGGGCTTAGGCCTTCCTTATGGATGGTTAAGGAGGATGGGCCATGACCCTCCACGCTGGCCCAATGCGGATTGGAGGGTATTAACGACTGCAAATGCAGCCGGGACCAACGGCTTAACGTGCCTTCCGAAGCACGGAGTAGCTCGAGTCAATTATTTTTTGGTCACCCATCCCGTGACCGACCCCTGCGAAAGTTGCTTAACGACAACGATCGCGGGCCGCGGCGCTTAACCACTACGCCACCGAGCTTAATGTCATTGGACACGAGGACCATTTAAATATATGCCTAAAAATAAAGCAATATTGACAACATGTTTCCATAATATAAATCAAAATGTCGTCGATTTATCATACAGAGAAATATTTTTAAAGTCAAGAAAAATATCAATGAACAAACTGATATACGTTGCACCGTGAAATACTTTTGGAGAATATTATTAGAATATTTCTGATTCAGTAAAAATTGTGGAAGAATCATTAAATTTTCAATTTGACAATAATAGTGATTGGATTTTTACATTTTTTGAAAAATATGTATTATTTAGTAGATAAAAAAGTACCAAAATGAATTGTATATGTATAGTAGGACCACCAAATTCAGGAAAAATATATATAAAATTTATAATATATAGCATATAAAAATATATTTCTTTGGGGAATATTAAGGAAAAGTCAATTAAAAATAAAACCGAGAATTTAAAAAGTAGGCAAGAAATGTGCGCCTGTAGAGCAGTTTCATGGAAAAACCAATTATTATATAGACATTTGCATCTAGGATTTATTTAATAATGAGCAATAAAATCCGCCATGTTTATAAAAACCTCGTCGCTCTTGAAGGGAATAGATTTATTAAATATTTTGAGGTATTTTGAGGCTTGATTATTGATGAAAAATAGTTTGCGAATTTGCATAATCCAAATAAATAAGTATAAAGTGGTCTTACCAAACTTAATAGTCAAATGTTTGAAACAAAAGATCAATACAAATTATAATAACAGCAAATATGAAGGAAGATATGATTAAAGTATAATAAATAGAACCGAAAATAATTCGGATGATTTTGTTGAATTCCAGGAAGGTAAAAATATAGACATAAAAGGGAATTATTTTGAAATAGTATTTGTAGATGAAAGATACGATGGAAATGCAATGGGCATTACTTAGAAATAAATAGTTTAATATTTGATTAATTAAAAATTGTAATGGTAATTGGTAATTGAATGTCAAAAAGTATGTTTATATGAAACTCACGACATTACTAAATTCGATAAACAATAAGTTATGTAATATTCTCATATGTAAATAGCATATAATATAAATAGAAGGACATAAGAGCAGGACCGATCTCGTTGGAGATATTTTGGGGAGGCCTATGCCCAGCAGTGGGCGTCTCTCGGCTGATATGATGATGATGATAAATGTTCATTTAATTTAATTTGACTACAATTTAATTTTCTCTCATAGTTTGTATTAATTTATCTAAATATTTGAATTTGTATTTCTGTTGAAATTATTATTTGTAAAATCGGTATACTTTACTAACGGAGGCGCGCCGAGACGTAATGATAGAAGACTTGATTACAGTATGTAGAAATTATAATATTAGAGAGAGTTTTTAATGAAAGAAGAAATTATAAAAAACGCTCTTCGATTTTCGCTAAATGCAGCTTTACCACGTTTATGTGTAGTTAATGGGGCAAAAGGAATCTAAAATAAGGACATAATTCTTGTAATTCTTAATGACTATCGTTTGTCGCCTACAAGTGGTCATGTAGGTGTCACTAAAATGAGAAATAATATAAAATACACATATTTTTGGCATAATAATATGCATAAAGATATAATTTAGTATATGAGTCATAGTAAAGGTTGTCAGAGATAAAAAAAAATTGTAACATAAAGAACAGAGTAAAATCAGCATAACAACCACAGCATCTGCTTCTTTTGAAAATATTTATTAAGATTTTGTGAGACCTCTAGATGTAAATAGTGTAAACTACCCAATCGTTGGCACTCCACCAATAGGGATGATGACAGTAAACAAAAGTCACTAAAGTAATGCATCTATGTAATGAAATGTAAATTATGGATTGCAAAAAACGTATTTATTTTTTAATTATGAGTGAGATTATTTAATATTTTAATAAAATAAAACCACAAAATACGACAATCCGCCATGTTATATTGAACGCCAATCAGAGCGAATTACGTCACGTTCGACTACAATGACAGCTCTTCTTAGTTTCCCTCTATAGCAAGTGGATAATTTGGTTTGTTTTCATAAATATATTAAATAAAATAGAAAGTGAAAATACAAGAATGGAACCAGGATTTACAAAGGCAACCAGCACGAATTTGCCAAGAGTCGACTTGTTGATTCTAGGAGCGTTTCTAGGGTCAAATAAAGACTTTTGTTCGTCAGAATTTAGGAATGTAAAAACATCCATGTAAGTACAAATCATACAATAAAATCACTTATAAATGAATGAACATAAGACAAAATGTTTCAAAATATTATGTATACTTTCTGTTTTTCAATATACCCTTCAATGAAACTTCTAATATTACGCTTGGAGGTTATATTGCAATTATTCTTTTAATATTTACCTACCAAATACATAGTTGTAATCTGAGTTGTAACATGGTTTTCTTTATTTTAGGTCCTCCAGAGCATCATATGGCGACGATGCTATAAGTTACGTCCAGGTTAAACGGGAAGGAAATCTGTGCATAGTAAAAGGCAAAATCTGCCCAGAACATAAAGTACATGCAAAATTGTATGGAGTGACTTTAGTGATTGATGAACAGGAAGAGGCAGTAAAATCAATTGAATGTCATGATTGTGTGGCTTCGCAAGGAGAATGTAAACATGCAATAGCATTCCTAATGTGGGTTCACCGCAGGAGTGAAGACCCTTCATGTACATCCATCGAATGCTATTGGATAAAATCAAAGCTTTCCAGGGTTGGTACTACTGTTAAATACATAACTGCCAAAGACTTATCCAAGGGTAAGCCTAGCTTATCATCAAATACAGGAGTATTCGAAAAGTTTTTAACAGAAGGTAAGAAAAGGAAACTTACCAATTGTGAGATAATCAAATATCAAAAAGATTATGTTTTTGCTGGACCAGAAGGTTTTTCTATGGACAAATTAGTGCAGAAATATAAAGAAACATCCTGTGACACATTTTTGAGCAGAGTTGTGTTAACTGATAGTGATATCAGCAATATTGAAAAAGAAACGAGAGACCAACATAAAAGCAGCTTATGGCATGAATTAAGATATGGAAGAATAACAGCTTCACGGGCGTACGAATTCAGTCGGTGCAAAACCAGTGATGGTACTCTGATTGCTGTAATATTGGGTGGAAAAATTCCAGACACAACGGCCATGAAGCGTGGTAGAATATTGGAGGATGACGTTAGAAATACAGTCAGTGCCAAATTAGGAAAAAAAAATAAAAAATGTGGTTTAATGATAGCCAAAAACTACCCTATGCTAGCAGGTTCACCAGATGGGATCTGCGAAAACAGCATTATAGAAATAAAGTGCCCTATGAGTGAAAAAACCTTTAAAAATTATATATGTGATGGGAAACCAAGCCAGAAGTTTTATGTGCAGATGCAATTACAAATGCTATTAACAGGGCTTAAAAAAGGCTATTTTTGTGTAGCTGATTGCAACTACAGTACTAATAAGAAAGTACAAATATTGGACATTCAATATGATGAAAAATATGTATCAGATTTTATTAATGTTATAGTTCCTTTATGGAAAGATAATATTTATCCAATACTACATCAAAGTATTTTATAATTTTTGGATTAATAATAAAAAACAATATTATAAATTTGAATTTTATTTAACAGTCTTAAAGATATCCCTATAAAAAGTACATAATTAAGAGTTGCCGTTCGCACAGTCAGAAAATGATAAAACGAAATATAAAATACTGCATCCTTATAAATGAAATGTTAGTTTTTAGATGTTTTTCAGACGGACTGAATAATAATCGTATTAGTATAATATTAATTGCTAGAAATTTGAAATATTTAAAAGGTGCTATACAAGCAGCGTTAGATGAGAATAGTATGTTATATAATAGCCAAAACAAATGTCTTTAAGTCGAGAGGTAATTCTCAAGGTGTAAATATTAATAAAGTTATGAATCATTTAAATAAATCGAGAAAGCAAACGAGGTCCGATTTAGATTTTAGAGTTTCACGTGATAAGCAAACACGTATATAGCTGAAGAGTAGCTATGTAGCTTTAAAACATAGCTACTCTTCAGCTATAGATATAGCAGAAAGTACATTAAGAGTAATGAAACCATTACTGAAGAAAATAAACGACGCTGCGTTGAAAACAAAAAATATGAATCTATTCAACGTGGGGCAGACTCTTCAGAAAGTGATGAAGGAATTCTTTCTATACATGAAAAGTCAAAGAAAGGACTTGACCAATTGTTCTTACAATACTTTCGGGGAGTGGTATTTAAACGAAGGATTATCCACGACGTATGGGAGGCTCCAATCGATGCGTTGGGAGAACGATTTAGAGACGCAATTATTCGACCATTACAGCTCAGCATTAATGGAGCTCGAAGAACGTCAAGAACAGATGGACGATGCGGTGGAGGAGAATATTCAATACCGGGAATCTTTGTCATCGCAGAATATGAAAAGCACTTGCATGTCATCCACGATTGTGCATACTCCGGATCAACATGCCGGTGCCTCCACATCCAAAGGATTAGGGACTTCATTACAGATGCAGACACCGCAGAAGAAATTGAAAGATGGGCCAATAGTAAACAGTGACGTTCCAGAAGGAGAAGTCTCACTTTTCAAAGCGGAAAATGGTAGATCTGTCCGAAGAGGAGGAAATGGAGTATGTAGTGGGAGATTTATTCCGGAAAGCACAAAAGACAGTGGAGGAAGAGAGCGAACCGGAAGTGGAATTAAGAGTCCCATCATCCAAGAAGAAAAGGAGAGGTTTATCAATGGAATCAGAAGAGAGCATGGACGAAACTCCGAACGACGAAGACTTTTCCTCTATGGTCGCCAATCATGCCCGAGCTCACTCATTAGTAATAAAGGAAGACGACGGACATATCAATATATTGTCGCCGGGAGATCGTGGATCGATGGTTATAAAACTAGAGCTTTACCCTTTCAAAGAGTGTGTAAAACTCAACAAAAATCAATATTGGACGAAGCGAATATATTCGTGTCTAGGAGTGACCTCTGGAGAGGATTTGCGTGCATATAAACTAGCGGTGAAACCAAGATACGAACTGACAAGACAAATAATGAATCTAAAGGATGTCAAAGTAGAGAAAAAGGTACGAACGGGTTGGAAAAGTTTCCAGAATCATTTATAATTACACCAACAAAAAACATATTATATACAGGACATTGGACACATCATCAGCCCTTTTTTATGTCCCCACTGCAGGGGCTTAGGCCTTCCTTATGGATGGTTAAGGAGGATGGGCCATGACCCTCCACGCTGGCCCAATGCGGATTGGAGGGTATTAACGACTGCAAATGCAGCCGGGACCAACGGCTTAACGTGCCTTCCGAAGCACGGAGTAGCTCGAGTCAATTATTTTTTGGTCACCCATCCCGTGACCGACCCCTGCGAAAGTTGCTTAACGACAACGATCGCGGGCCGCGGCGCTTAACCACTACGCCACCGAGCTTAATGTCATTGGACACGAGGACCATTTAAATATATGCCTAAAAATAAAGCAATATTGACAACATGTTTCCATAATATAAATCAAAATGTCGTCGATTTATCATACAGAGAAATATTTTTAAAGTCAAGAAAAATATCAATGAACAAACTGATATACGTTGCACCGTGAAATACTTTTGGAGAATATTATTAGAATATTTCTGATTCAGTAAAAATTGTGGAAGAATCATTAAATTTTCAATTTGACAATAATAGTGATTGGATTTTTACATTTTTTGAAAAATATGTATTATTTAGTAGATAAAAAAGTACCAAAATGAATTGTATATGTATAGTAGGACCACCAAATTCAGGAAAAATATATATAAAATTTATAATATATAGCATATAAAAATATATTTCTTTGGGGAATATTAAGGAAAAGTCAATTAAAAATAAAACCGAGAATTTAAAAAGTAGGCAAGAAATGTGCGCCTGTAGAGCAGTTTCATGGAAAAACCAATTATTATATAGACATTTGCATCTAGGATTTATTTAATAATGAGCAATAAAATCCGCCATGTTTATAAAAACCTCGTCGCTCTTGAAGGGAATAGATTTATTAAATATTTTGAGGTATTTTGAGGCTTGATTATTGATGAAAAATAGTTTGCGAATTTGCATAATCCAAATAAATAAGTATAAAGTGGTCTTACCAAACTTAATAGTCAAATGTTTGAAACAAAAGATCAATACAAATTATAATAACAGCAAATATGAAGGAAGATATGATTAAAGTATAATAAATAGAACCGAAAATAATTCGGATGATTTTGTTGAATTCCAGGAAGGTAAAAATATAGACATAAAAGGGAATTATTTTGAAATAGTATTTGTAGATGAAAGATACGATGGAAATGCAATGGGCATTACTTAGAAATAAATAGTTTAATATTTGATTAATTAAAAATTGTAATGGTAATTGGTAATTGAATGTCAAAAAGTATGTTTATATGAAACTCACGACATTACTAAATTCGATAAACAATAAGTTATGTAATATTCTCATATGTAAATAGCATATAATATAAATAGAAGGACATAAGAGCAGGACCGATCTCGTTGGAGATATTTTGGGGAGGCCTATGCCCAGCAGTGGGCGTCTCTCGGCTGATATGATGATGATGATAAATGTTCATTTAATTTAATTTGACTACAATTTAATTTTCTCTCATAGTTTGTATTAATTTATCTAAATATTTGAATTTGTATTTCTGTTGAAATTATTATTTGTAAAATCGGTATACTTTACTAACGGAGGCGCGCCGAGACGTAATGATAGAAGACTTGATTACAGTATGTAGAAATTATAATATTAGAGAGAGTTTTTAATGAAAGAAGAAATTATAAAAAACGCTCTTCGATTTTCGCTAAATGCAGCTTTACCACGTTTATGTGTAGTTAATGGGGCAAAAGGAATCTAAAATAAGGACATAATTCTTGTAATTCTTAATGACTATCGTTTGTCGCCTACAAGTGGTCATGTAGGTGTCACTAAAATGAGAAATAATATAAAATACACATATTTTTGGCATAATAATATGCATAAAGATATAATTTAGTATATGAGTCATAGTAAAGGTTGTCAGAGATAAAAAAAAATTGTAACATAAAGAACAGAGTAAAATCAGCATAACAACCACAGCATCTGCTTCTTTTGAAAATATTTATTAAGATTTTGTGAGACCTCTAGATGTAAATAGTGTAAACTACCCAATCGTTGGCACTCCACCAATAGGGATGATGACAGTAAACAAAAGTCACTAAAGTAATGCATCTATGTAATGAAATGTAAATTATGGATTGCAAAAAACGTATTTATTTTTTAATTATGAGTGAGATTATTTAATATTTTAATAAAATAAAACCACAAAATACGACAATCCGCCATGTTATTACGTCACGTTCGACTACAATGACAGCTCTTCTTAGTTTCCCTCTATAGCAAGTGGATAATTTGGTTTGTTTTCATAAATATATTAAATAAAATAGAAAGTGAAAATACAAGAATGGAACCAGGATTTACAAAGGCAACCAGCACGAATTTGCCAAGAGTCGACTTGTTGATTCTAGGAGCGTTTCTAGGGTCAAATAAAGACTTTTGTTCGTCAGAATTTAGGAATGTAAAAACATCCATGTAAGTACAAATCATACAATAAAATCACTTATAAATGAATGAACATAAGACAAAATGTTTCAAAATATTATGTATACTTTCTGTTTTTCAATATACCCTTCAATGAAACTTCTAATATTACGCTTGAAGGTTATATTGCAATTATTCTTTTAATATTTACCTACCAAATACATAGTTGTAATCTGAGTTGTAACATGGTTTTCTTTATTTTAGGTCCTCCAGAGCATCATATGGCGACGATGCTATAAGTTACGTCCAGGTTAAACGGGAAGGAAATCTGTGCATAGTAAAAGGCAAAATCTGCCCAGAACATAAAGTACATGCAAAATTGTATGGAGTGACTTTAGTGATTGATGAACAGGAAGAGGCAGTAAAATCAATTGAATGTCATGATTGTGTGGCTTCGCAAGGAGAATGTAAACATGCAATAGCATTCCTAATGTGGGTTCACCGCAGGAGTGAAGACCCTTCATGTACATCCATCGAATGCTATTGGATAAAATCAAAGCTTTCCAGGGTTGGTACTACTGTTAAATACATAACTGCCAAAGACTTATCCAAGGGTAAGCCTAGCTTATCATCAAATACAGGAGTATTCGAAAAGTTTTTAACAGAAGGTAAGAAAAGGAAACTTACCAATTGTGAGATAATCAAATATCAAAAAGATTATGTTTTTGCTGGACCAGAAGGTTTTTCTATGGACAAATTAGTGCAGAAATATAAAGAAACATCCTGTGACACATTTTTGAGCAGAGTTGTGTTAACTGATAGTGATATCAGCAATATTGAAAAAGAAACGAGAGACCAACATAAAAGCAGCTTATGGCATGAATTAAGATATGGAAGAATAACAGCTTCACGGGCGTACGAATTCAGTCGGTGCAAAACCAGTGATGGTACTCTGATTGCTGTAATATTGGGTGGAAAAATTCCAGACACAACGGCCACGAAGCGTTGTAGAATATTGGAGGATGACGTTAGAAATACAGTCAGTGCCAAATTAGGAAAAAAAAATAAAAAATGTGGTTTAATGATAGCCAAAAACTACCCTATGCTAGCAGGTTCACCAGATGGGATCTGCGAAAACAGCATTATAGAAATAAAGTGCCCTATGAGTGAAAAAACCTTTAAAAATTATATATGTGATGGGAAACCAAGCCAGAAGTTTTATGTGCAGATGCAATTACAAATGCTATTAACAGGGCTTAAAAAAGGCTATTTTTGTGTAGCTGATTGCAACTACAGTACTAATAAGAAAGTACAAATATTGGACATTCAATATGATGAAAAATATGTATCAGATTTTATTAATGTTATAGTTCCTTTATGGAAAGATAATATTTATCCAATACTACATCAAAGTATTTTATAATTTTTGGATTAATAATAAAAAACAATATTATAAATTTGAATTTTATTTAACAGTCTTAAAGATATCCCTATAAAAAGTACATAATTAAGAGTTGCCGTTCGCACAGTCAGAAAATGATAAAACGAAATATAAAATACTGCATCCTTATAAATGAAATGTTAGTTTTTAGATGTTTTTCAGACGGACTGAATAATAATCGTATTAGTATAATATTAATTGCTAGAAATTTGAAATATTTAAAAGGTGCTATACAAGCAGCGTTAGATGAGAATAGTATGTTATATAATAGCCAAAACAAATGTCTTTAAGTCGAGAGGTAATTCTCAAGGTGTAAATATTAATAAAGTTATGAATCATTTAAATAAATCGAGAAAGCAAACGAGGTCCGATTTAGATTTTAGAGTTTCACGTGATAAGCAAACACGTATATAGCTGAAGAGTAGCTATGTAGCTTTAAAACATAGCTACTCTTCAGCTATAGATATAGCAGAAAGTACATTAAGAGTAATGAAACCATTACTGAAGAAAATAAACGACGCTGCGTTGAAAACAAAAAAATGAATCTATTCAACGTGGGGCAGACTCTTCAGAAAGTGATGAAGGAATTCTTTCTATACATGAAAAGTCAAGGAAAGGACTTGACCAATTGTTCTTACAATACTTTCGGGGAGTGGTGTTTAAACGAAGGATTATCCACGACGTATGGAAGGCTCCAATCGATGCGTTGGGAGAACGATTTAGAGACGCAATTATTCGACCATTACAGCTCAGCATTAATGGAGCTCGAAGAACGTCAAGAACAGATGGACGATGCGGGGGAGGAGAATATTCAATACCGGGAATCTTTGTCATCGCAGAACATGAAAAGCACTTGCATGTCATCCACGATTGTGCATACTCCGGATCAACATGCCGGTACCTCCACATCCAAAGGATTAGGGACTTCATTACAGATGCAGACACCGCAGACGAAATTGTAAGATGGGCCAACAGCCAAAACAGTGACGTTCCAGAAGGAAAAGTCTCACTTTTCGAAGCGGAAAATGGTAGACCTGTACGAAGAGGAGGAAATGGAGTATGTAGTGGGAGATTTATTCCGGAGATTTATTGCACAAAAGACAGTGTAGGAAGAAAACGAACCGGAAGTGGAATTAAGAGTCCCATCATCCAAGAAGAAAAGGAGAGGTTTATCAATGGAATCAGAAGAGAGCATGGACGAAACTCCGAACGACGAAGACTTTTCCTCTATGGTCGCCAATCATGCCCGAGCTCACTCATTAGTTACGAGCACTGGAAAAATCTCTCAATCTATCTTAATAAAGGAAGACGACGGATATATCAATACATATATTGTCGCCGGGAGAGCGTGGATCGATGGTTATAAAACTAGAGCTTTACCCTTTCAAAGAGTGTGAAAAACTCAACAAAAATAAATATTGGACGAAGCGAATATATTCGTGTCTAGGAGTGACCTCTGGAGAGGATTCGCGTGCATACAAACTAGCGATGAAACTAAGATACGAACTGACAAGACAAATAATGAATTTAAAGGATGTCAAAGTAGAGAAAAAGGTACAAACTGGTTGGAAAATTTTATAGAATCATTTATAATTACACCAACAAAAAACATATTATATACAGGACATTGGACACAAGGACCATTTAAATATATGCCTAAAATAAAGCAATATTGACAACATGTTTCCATAATATAAATCAAAATGTCGTCGATTTATCATACAGAGAAATATTTTTAAAGTCAAGAAAAATATCAATGAATAAACTGATATACGTTGCACCGTGGAATAATGTTGGAGAATATTATTAAAATATTTCTGATTCAGTAAAAATTGTGGAAGAATGATTAAATTTTCAATTTGACAATAATAGTGATTGGATTTTTACATTTTTGAAAAATATATATTATTTAGTAGATAAAAAAGTACCAAAAATGAATTGTATAAATTCAGGAAAAAATTACTTTTTTGATTGTTTGATTCATACATGTATTAACTATGGTCAAATCGGAAATTTTAATAAATATGACAGATTCCCATTACAAGATGCAGTTCAACGAAGAATTTTATTATGGAACGACTCAAATTTCGAACCAGGATTCGAAGAAATTTTAAAATTATTATTTGGAGGAGACACTTGTCCAGCAAGAATTAAATATGAAGGTGATGCCAGTATACAAAGAACACCAATAACTGTTTTATCTAACAATGATGTGATACCAAATACACCTGCATTTACTAGTCGAGTCTGGAAATATCAATGGAACAAGCTGGATTTAATTAAAAGTATATAACTAAAAAACGTTATCCTTTTTGTTTATTTTATATTATGTTAAAATATAATATTCTTAGTCGTAAGAATTTTCATTTTGAAAAGTGGGAATTAAATATTATAAACAATGAAAAGAAATAAATATGGTTTTATAAATATATTTCCTGTTTTATTGATAAAATGGTTTACATTTTCCTTATCACTAGGTTTAATTCAGTGTTGGCCCAAAGTTAATCTGATTAACGATTAAAAATTAATGATTAAAAATCATAATCAAAAATTGTGATTAAGATTAATTAATCATAATCAAATTTAAAATGATTAAGATTATTAATCATAATCATTAATCGTTAATTTCTTGTGTGATTAACTATTTATGAATTTATTTAATTTATTGGAACAGCTTAAGCAATACGCAATATATGTATGCATCAAAGTTGTTATTGACTCGCCGTAAAGAAAATCCTTCTTCTGTAATTTTTGTTTTAGTTTTCCGTATGATCCTAATATTAAAAATAAATGGATTGAAGCAACAGGACTCTAAGGCAAATAGTAGGTATACTTACTGGACATGGAAACTTTAACAAACACCTATATAACATGGGTTATTCTGACAGTCCTCTGAGCAGGGCGTGCATGGAGATTGAGGAGATTGTCTCCTCAGTCTCCATTTCAGTATCACATGAGCACACAAGCGCTCATGTGATACTGGAATGCAGGAGCCTATTAAGACAAAGGACTACATATCTAGATAGCCCAAGGATACTAGTGGAAGCATGCGGCAGAGTTCGAGATCTTACGGGCTTCCTGGAGGAGCTGGGGTGGCAGGACTAAAGCAACCCCGTGTCACGCAAAATAAACACTGAGTGTCGAGTTACGGAAAAGCCCGCCGTGAAACATAACATAACAGGACGTAAAAATGTTTAGCGTGTCGGGAGGGGGTAGCGGTTACTACAAAGTGTTTGCCCACAGAAAAATGCCGATTTCTATTCTATCGCATAAAAATCTTTTTTGCGCCGATTCACTAAATTACATTCGTGAGTTCGTGACATATACATAATATTTAAGCAAACTGGTAGTCTGTCTATAAAGTCATGAAAAAAATTGAGGGCGCTGTGATCGTGCACGTAGCAACCCTGTGTAGTGAGACAAATGATTTTGATAGTAGGATTTTTTTTTTAACTTTTACCCAGAAAAGGTAAAGAAAGGCGTATAATTCGTAGACAATGAGTTAGAATAAACTCATTGTCTTGCAATATAGTAATCGTAATTTTTGATAAATCTTTTTTTTTATAATTGCCAAGTTGTTTTCTCGTTTTACTGCAATGTGTGCTTGTGTTCGATTAAAGCCTGTTACTTTGACACTCCTTGTAAGAAAACCCAATATATTTCAGAATTTAACGCAGAACCTCTAGGCTACAATTAAAATCCAGATCGGTTTTGGCAATCCACTGATGTTATCTTCATGTAGGTACCTCTTTTTTTCACAGAGTAAAAGAACTGAATCTTTTGTCGAAGTGCACAAATGCAGTTAACCATTTATTTCTTAGGACGACTATCTATGTTTCCCAGGGGTTTCAAATATGCCACCATTTTTATAACCTTCATCTACAATACGTATCACTATATTCTCTGATTTTCCTGAAAGTAAGTTTTAAAAATGAAATACCTATAGGTATTTGGCAAAAAGAATGGAATCGCCACAATGATCAAATTAATGCTATAATTTTTAGTAATATAAAGCACAAACTTTTTATTGGCGTACGTAGGTAAAAATCGTACATTCCTAACAGGTATATTTTTTATTCAGATTATAATCAATGATAAATTTGATTATCCAAAAGTATTGAAAGTTCGGGCCGCACTACAATATAGCCTTCTAACATTTTCAATCTAACCTATAAATGCATAATGTAATCAATACTTCTTTTAGACTTAAATTCATATATTTAATAAATTTGAAACTACTGGTAACCAAAACTCAATCAGTAACACGATTACATACCAGCCATAACTGCCGTTCGAGCTTTAACATCCTACAAATATGATAAAATGTGTCCAGCTTCTTGTTCCAATAAACATCACTGAAAAACTTTATAAATAATATCCTGAGCTTCACTCTGATTAATTCTCTTCATTTTTAACACTTTTCGACGGAGTTAAGAAGAAGTAGCTTCAGTTTAATCAAAACAAATCAAAAATGCAGAAAATCGAGCTAAAAAATCAAGTTGTTGACAGTCGATGTACTTTGATTCAGTGTTGTCATACTTGTGTCTAATGTTAGTTCCTCAAACATTCTTTTCATGACTTTATAGACAGACTGTACACGTTGGTCTCCGTCGATCGATATCGTTTTTTCAATCGATAAGAATCGGTATGCCGTTTCAAATACAACATGTATTCGATGCAAGTGAAATTATGTCTTCCATCACTAAATTAAGATCGTGACGTCATGATACCTACACAAAATGTGGCACGCTCGGTCTCCATATAAATCGACGAACATTTTCCTTCTAACTAGATTTATTTCTGTGGTAATATGCCATCGTTCTTAAGTGAACACTTGAACTCTAATAAAGTGTTAGAAATAGAACTGAAGATATGCGGTTTTCTTGCAAAACATGATTTATCAATTTCATTAACTGATAACGGATTTGGTGGCACTTATGCGAACTTTGTTTCCTGAAACCAAATACTTACCAGAAGTACGTATAGGTGAGCAAAAAGCTACAAACATCTTACGACAAGTTACAGGATTCACATACAAACAGCAAGTAGTTAACACAACGACAAACAATTTTGTTAACATGATCATAGATGAAACGACAGATCTTACTCAGATAAAGCAGTTGGCAATCATCATAACATTCTTTGACAGCGTAACCAAAACCTACAGACCGTAACCAAGAATACAGATTTTTACAACAATTAAAGATGTATTTTTAAAATATGATGTTCCAATACAAAATGCAATTGGATTTACTTCTGATACCACAAACGTCATGTTGGGAAAACATCATTCTGTGCAAACTTTGCTTAAAAATTAGGTTCAGCTTTAGTATCGGCGACTACGCAGATTGTGTTGATATTTTTTTATACACACAGAGACAGATACACTAAAGAGACATAAATTTCCAAAATATCAAAGTGTGGAGTGATATAGTATTCGAGATATAATTTTTTGAAAATACGTCTAAAATATTGTTTTGAACGAGGTTTATATTATGTTTGACAAATGTTTTTGTTTTAAAAATTGATTACATTGAAAAGCAAAGGGATTCATGCGCAGACAACCAATGGAATCGTAATAATTTTTTATGTATTTTGTGACAAAAAGAAAATATGAAGTAACAAACAATTATAAATTGAACAGTTTATCGGAAAAATTGCATCTTTTTATGAAATTTTAAATTCGCAGATCGTTTATGCACCTTAAAATGACCTACTGAGTGTTTGTAGATGAAAAATGTTCTGTGAAATGAAACGCGTACACTAAACAAGTAGCTAACCGCCTTATTTGTTTATCCACAGCTTTGATTCGCGTTGCGCTGGTGTTTCTGTGTTTTCGCTTGAGTCTTCTGTGAATACTATTGTGTAATTGCTATTTCATCATGTCTTCAACTGATTGTAGTGATAGTGAATGTGGTGAAGAGATACCGGTGTTGGACTCTAATGAGCCGCCGGCTCCTTCGGGGAGTGGTAAAGTGACGTCTGTGTTGGACTCTAATGAGCCACCGACTCCTTCGGGAAGTGGATTAGCGATATCAGTGCCGGAGGATGAACCAACTGAATCGCAGGCTTCATCATCAGAGGCAGGTCATGCTCCACTACGATTGCACCTCTACACTGAGGAATTATTGAAAACTAGTGGACGCCCGCGACTTCGTCCGCGTGGAAGTCGGTATCCCGTGGGAGTGAGAAGTTTTCCCAGTAAAAAGTACCCTATGTGTTATTCTGATGTATAACCTATATTGCTGTAAAGTTTTATCCAAATCCGTCCAGTAGTTTTTTCGTGAAAGAGTAACAAACATCCATACATCCATACTTACAAACTTTCGCCTTTATAATATTAATAGGATGTGGAATATGGAGAATAATAATAGGTATGTTCAAGGTGTTTTATGCATTATCTTAGTGCTCGTTGTTATGACAGAGACAATGCTAATATAAAACCAAATTAGTGAACTTCAAATCCCACAAAGTACTAGTCTGCTCTACCCTTAGAGTGTTTTTATAAACCGGAGCCGTTTAAATCCAATTCAGTGATAAAGTCAAATATTGTTTTATATCTGTAGGTCACGTGATAGGTTAGAAATTTAAGACGATCGCGAAGCGCAGCGTAGCGATCGTCTTAAATTTCGAGGTTATTTTTTTTTTCAGACCACAGACATAAAATAGCCTATAAAAATTATTGATATATGTTGTCTTTAATTCTTTTGCTTTCTAACAAAGAGTCCCATAGAATCTGAAATTTTACCTTGATTGTTTGTTCAAAAAACATTTTTAAAAATATATGATATAACAAATACAGCATTTAATTTTTTCTTTTTAGATAAACTGGGAACAGATGACCAATGTCTCACTTTTAGTGAAGAGCGAGGACTTATTTTATCTACAAAAAATTGTAGACGGCACCGCAAGCCCATGTCCTTATTAAAGTCTAAAGGAGCTGTAGGAGCGTTTTTATGCAAAATAAATACCTGTAGATCCAGGTATATATCCCGATCAACAGGAACGTGGTTTGAAAATACTAAATTGCCACTCCCACTAATATTCAGGCTTATGTACTGCTTTGCCAGAGATTATGATTATTACCAAACTCGCATAGAATGCACTATTAAAAGTCGGAGAGTGGCAGTTTCAGAGGCAACAATAAGCGATTGGTTCAATTATTGCCGTGAGACAGTTGTGGTTTACCAACTGGAAAACCAGCCAGATAAACCAAAAATTGGTGGCCCTGGAAAAGTCGTCCAAATCGATGAAAGTAAATTTGGCAAAAGAAAATATAATAAAGGACGTCGTGTAGAGGGTCATTGGGTGCTGGGTATGGTAGACGATGATACCAATGAACTTAGACTAGAGGTATGCCCGAACAATGAGAGGTCTACTGAGATATTAATCCCATTAATAAAAAAACATGTGCAGGAAGGGACGATCATACATACCGATTGCTGGCGCGCATATGACGCTTTACAAGATCATGGGTATATCCACAAGCGAGTTAATCACAGTGATCCGGAAAATCCTTTTATTGCTGAGGATGGCACCCATACTCAACATATAGAGAGCCAATGGCGTAATTTAAAAAGAAGATTCCATAAGACAAATTATAAAGAAAATTTTGAAGATTGGTTAATAGAATATTTATGGCGTTTAGAAATTAAAAAAAAACACTTAGATGCTTTTGAAGAACTTATTAAAGCCATTAAATATGTTTATAAAATTTAATACTTTGTATTTATTTAACTCCTGTTTTATTTACTTTATCTTAGGTTCTTAATGTATTTTCTAAATTTTAATTTATCTGGATGATGTAACAACAAGATTTTATTTTTTTTTTCAAAACTATGCTTCTTCGCGCTTTGCCCTCCAGATTAATGCCCTAACAATAAGTGATCTACTAAGATATTAAACCCGTTAATAAAAAAACACGTAGGTACAAGAAGGGACGACCATAGATACCGATTGCTGGCGTGCATACTGCGCTTTACAATACCATGGTTATATCCACAAGCGAGTTAATTACAGTGCTCCAGAAAATAATCAATACCCAACACATAGAGAGCTAATGGCGAAATTTATAAAGAAGATTTCACAAGACTAACTATAAAGAAAATGTAGAAAGTAGTTCATTGAATATTAATGGCGTTTAAAAAAAAACATTTAGATGCTTTTGAAGAATTCATTCAAGTCATTAAATATGTTTATAGAATTTAATATTTTGTTTTTATTTAACTCCCGTTTTATTTAGGCTATTCTTAATGTTTTTTCTAAATTTTTATTTATCCTAATGATGTAACATATTTTTTTTTTACAAAACTATGCTCCTCCACGCTTTGACAAGTGGTTTTGAGGGAGTTACCTATAGAATAGGACAACCTACGAAGAGAATATTGACATGTTAAATAGTAAAATAAATAACTTCCAAATATGGTGAAGGCTGTTGAAATTGCATTTGGGAAAAGAGAGCATATCCCATGCTTTGCGCATACACTTAATTTAGTCGCTCAACATATTTTGGGAATTCCAGAATTACAGCCAACATTAACAAAGTAAAAACTGTTGTTACTTTTTTTAAACAAAGTTGTGTGGCAAGTGACGAGTTGCGTAAATCAGTTAAAGCTGAAACAAAACTAATTCAGGACGTCCCTACACGTTGGAATAGCACGTACTATACGATTGTACGTTTTCTTGATTTAAAAAATGCTGTAAGCGAAATTTTGATTCGTCATAAAACAGCACCGCCGATGTTAACTGGTATGAAGTTGACAATGTTAACATCGCTTCTTAACATATTACGCCCACTGGAAGCAGCGACCAAGGAAATATCTGGCGATAAATATTGCTCTAGCAGCAAGGTCATTCCATTAGTGCACTGCATGGTATCAAAACTGAAAAACCTTATTATTGAAGAACCTTTAATCAAGGAGGTACATAAACGCGCTCTTACCGAGATTAATAAACGAATGGGCGCCATCGAACAGGTATCATCATTAGCTATTGCAACAATATTGGACCCGAGATTCAAAAAACTTCATTTTGAAGATCCGTTGGCCTGCGCAAATGTTGTTAGTAAAATTAAAAATATGATTTAAAAAAATCAGCAGGATTAATTATGTACTGCAACGGAATCTGACTCTGACAATTCCGATAAAATTAGCCTGTCGGATTATAGCCTCTGAAGTGATCACCATAAACTGGCCCAGCGGAATTGGAAAACGAATAAAACAGACGAAAGTCTATCCGACGACTTATCGCTTTATTTGAGGGCTCCTGTTAGTAGATTTAATGAAAACCCATTAGAAGTGTGGGCAGATTACAAAGTACAGTTCCCAAAGTTATACAATATAGCATTTAAATATTGAACTATGGTGGCTAGGTCTGTTCCATCTGGAAAACTTTTTTCAAAAGCCGCACAGGTCCTATCTCAACAGAGATGCAGACTGCAAGCCAAAAGAGTGAATCAAATTTTGTTTTTGCAAGGTCTAGAGAAAAAATATTGGGATTTGTAAATCCCAATATTAAAGTTAAGTAAAAAAAAGTAAGTAGTTAAGTATAAAGTTTTATTTTTAATGAATAAAGTTGATTCGTTTCTTCAGCCTAGCTGTTTTTACTCATATCAACCTGAAACCTATCTAATATTGTAAGAATAGTTAAATACAAACAAATTACTTACGATATATCGAAAATATCGATATATTTGGACAATATATCGCAAAGTATCTATAGAACACTACGATATATTATATCGAAAAAAATATCGATATTTTTTTATATGAACATCTCTACATTCAACGTCGTAACACTCATCTGGACGACTAAATCTTTTAAGCGTGTGTCTGCTTGTGTTTCCTGTTTGATGTGATGTAAAGACTGCGTTAACTACATATTTCGGATATACTGGACAGTAAAGGAACCGGCCGGTTCCCGATCGAGGTGGAATTCGTCATCGATCTTCTCAAGGTACGTGGGTGCATTATAATTCGTTTCTACGTATCTTTCAACTGTATCTGAACATCGATTCCCATCGGCAGACCTATCCGGGTCTGATCCAGTTGTAGTAAAAAGCTACCAATTGTTTTTCTTTTGTGTAAGGTGCGGTTGCTACAGCTATTCTTGCGAGCACTTCCAAATGGGCATCGTAAAATATTCTACCATTAAAGCAAATGTCGGTGATGTTTTAGTGCATCTGAAGGTGAGAGCAGTAATGCTGGCAGCACTAGTATTTTGAAGTCATCAGTCTTGGTCAACTTTACAAGTGCCTTAGGACTTATCACTGATGACCTCGATGTTGATGGCTTGCTACAGGGACCCGGTATTGATGTAGATGCTAACGACTTGTTTCCAGTCAAAGAAAAGCGTCGAGGAAAGAAGAGGAAGTTTAATGAAAATGACATTATAATGGAAAGAAGTACGAATTGAATGAAAAATAGGATAACGGTAAAAGAAGCAGTTTAGATGACAAAAAGAGAACAAAGTTAAAATCAAATAAGCCAGTAAAAAGGGAGGCAAAGAAATGAAAAGAAAATAAATCAGACGATTGTTCGTGTCTTATTTGTGGAGTTTTATATAAAGAAGATATATACAACTGGCCAAGAGTGGATACAATGCATCATGGGCGCAAATAAATTGTATTAAGAGTACAAACGATCTTACCTCATACATCTGCTCAGATTGTTTGCCAGGTGAAGAGATTTTGTACCGTAGATAGACTTGAGTCTTTCTGACCTCTGATCATTATTATTATTTTTAGACACTACCTGTTATCTAATTTTAGTTTTAAGTATTCAACTGCTACTCTGATGACTATTGATTGTAACTTATAAAGATAAACAGCGCCTATTGAGATTATACATATCTGTGACGTACATTTATACTCCTTTTATCAATCTCATCAAAATGGTCCACGTTATTCGATGGCAAGTCATGCATAGGCGTGAGAGAACTTAAGCAATCACTATCTGAACTTAAGCAATCATAAGAATGCGACTGTTTAATGTAGCCTCGCAGTCCTCTAAAACAGTTTCTAATTCTACGTAGGTGAGACATGCTTGGCCTAGTACTCTACGGAGCAAATCTTTGAGTGATTTTATAAGACGCTCCCAGAATCCTCTAGCACTAGGAACATAAAATCCTTCACTCAATTTTTTTAAGAACCAATTAATTTTTTATGTGTTCCCAGTCCAGACTCTTAAGTAACTTGTTTGCACCTATGAAATTTCTCCCATTGACGAAATAAACTACCCTGACTCTACCTCGTCTCCCTATAAAGCGGCGAAAAGCCATAAAAAACTTTCGGTCAATAGACTCGTCGTACGTTCTAGATTAATTGCTCTAAATACTGCACAGGTGTAAAGAACAATCCAGCACTTGTCACCAGACTTCAAACCTGCTAATTCTACACCCACAACTTCAAATACCTATTTTCCGGAAGCGGTGCGGCGGGTGCTTTTGCTTTATTATTATTATTTATTGTCATTAAAGCGGGCTTGGACGAAGAACTTGTTTTAGGCCGGTAATTTATGTTAGAAGTTTATGATTTACAACTAACCAACTATGCTTAAATATACCACAAAACAGAATCAGAATCACTTAAAATTCTCCAGCCATGGGAAGCAATATCATATATTCCATTGTTATAGGAGTGTGTGTAAGTTATTTTCATTAGTATATAGCTGTATCGGACAGACGGCCAAGTTGTCTTTTTCACAGGTATTTTATTGTAATCTTTATTATTATTTGTTCAATTCTATTTCGATGAGGGTAGATTTAATTGTTTTTTTAATTTTGATCGGGTGCCATTGCCTTCTGATGGACACATTCAACGCGCGTGTTTGAGACGAATGGTACCATGCCATGTACAACAACCATTTTAATTTCTGCTGACTTATATCCTGAGGCGACATTCACTCGCAAGCATAGAATGTTAAAATTAGTTGTACGACTGGCTGGGAAGCTACTCTCCTTTTTATAAGTTTGTCATATTTTAAAATTTCTTCTTTTTCTTTTTGATTTTGCTCTGTCTTTGTTGGTATGTGTTTGCTGTGTATCATACCTCTACGAGGGTTCCGTCGTTCATTTTTGGAACCCAACGTTCCAAAAATGCTCACGCCGTTCTATAAACAGCGTCGAGTTTGAAACTACTTTGGAGTTTATAGACTTGTGCAAGGACTGTTTGGACGAAATTTATTCCTATTTTGTCACCGTCAATAAAACGTGGATTCGTCAATTTGATCCAGCATCAAAACAAGAATCAATGCAGTGGATAGAAAAGGGAGAAAAGCTCCCAAAGAAATTTAAGGTTGAAAAGTGGACTTCGAAACTCATGGTCACCATTTTTTGGGATTCGGAAGGGATTTTACTCATCGACTACCTGATATTAACGCTACGTATTATGTAGCACTTTTAAAAAAATATGCGATCTCATTGGGGCAAAAAGAAGAGGGAAAATCAGCAAAGGAGTTTTGTTTCTGCAAGACAATGCGCTAATCCATACGGCGCGAATTGCGAAGCAAACCCTTCGAGAAACTGGCTTTGTTAAATTAATCACCCACCCTATAGTCCAGACCTGGCTCCCAGCGACTATTTTCTTTTTAAAATCTGAAAAAAGACCTTCGAGGAAGAAAATTTGGAGATGATGAAGAAATGAAAGCAGCCGTAAACGAGCATTTTGACAGCAAACGTGCATCTTATTTTTTTAGTGGGATACAAGCTCTTTTTAAAAGATGCGTCGAAGTGGAAGGAGACTAAAATTATTTTTTGGATTTTTATCGGGTCTTTTATCTGCGGCTCAGAACTTTTCAGCCGTCCCTCGTGTATCAATTGATTCTACTTTACAGTCCTCATTTCCATAACCTATCATCAGTAGAAGTTATTTATTTTCTTGATTTACCAAGAATAGTCTATGGCATCATCACTTTCATCATCCACACATCCATCATAGTCCACACACGAATACTTTTAGAATAAAGTTGTGTTAAAATCGCACAATATCGTAACTGTGTTTGTTAACTATGTCGCAAGTACAGCTACTGGCAGAATTACTTCCTGGCGTGAAATGAATATTCGATTTGAAACTTTTATTATTTTTTCAGCACCTGAGCAATACGCTGGCATTGCTGATTGCAACAAATTAAATGTAAAACTAGAAAACCAAGATAACAGGCCTGAATACATATGTTTACACCGCGATGCTAGCAAATAACACATACAACAATCAATTATTCACCATACGAATTAGTTTTAGGCCAAACAGCACTAGATGCGACGTATCCAGATTATGTAAAGATGTTACAACACCGACTAAAGCAATAGAAAACATGCATAAATCCAACGAAACCTCAAAAACAATTATTATGATACCTATAAAATACAAAGCGGGTGATTAGGGCATGGATACCGGTATACCGAAATACCGGTATACCGGACAATTTTTTCGGTATTTTGATACCGGTATTTGAGGATAAAATACCGGTATTTCGGTATTTAAAAAAAAAGCTTTATATTTTTGCAATATCAGCTGTTAAAAGTCATTGATACGTTTTCACACATATTTTTAGGGTACCAAAAGATCAAAGGACTGAGTATGACTGAGTAGACTACGCTGTCTCCGCCTGTCAGCGGGCTCTATCTCCGAAACCGCTGCGGCTAGGAATCTGAAATTTTCACAGAATGTGTACAACTGTTGCCGTTACAAAAACAAATACTAAAACCTGTTACAAGTTTTATCCTCTAAGTGGCGCTGATACAACAAAGTGACAAAAATTGGAATATCTCAGCCGTTGATATATAACGGCTAATATCGGACGGCGGATAGCAAAATATTTTTATTAATTTATCATACCGAATTGGTTCTTAAATCAATAATAAATAAAGAATATTATTCTCCAACGGCACCCTTCGTGCGCGAGTTCCACTCGCCGGTTTTTTATATTTCACAGCACAGTTGTACACGTTATGGAACCCACACCCAGCAGTTGTATATATAAGGACGCCTTCGCCTATGTTATGTCCATCCCCAGGGTTCAACTATCGATTCAAATAATCGGTAGATTCAAAACGATTCGAGTATCCAGTCCCATCACTAATCATGTGACGCGCACGCCGAGCACGCCACTTCCTTCCCCTCCCTCCGCCCGCCGCCGGCTCGCGGCTTTCTCAGTCAGTTCTGCTGATATTATTGAAGCGAGAGCACATTGCCGTTTGTTTACTACTCTAACTCCACCAGCTTTTTAAAATGGAGGTACTAGAGGCAGATTTTTGGATGCAGCTTACAAGTACCTATTAAGCATTCCTCCCACCAGCGTTGAATCAGAAAGGGCGTTTTCATCTGCAAGTTACATTTGTAACAAAATAAGATCATCGTTGAACGACGCAACTTTGGACGCATTGTGTTTTCTTCGTTCAATTTTACAACAAACGCGATCTACCTGATTGAGATTTAAGTTGAATTGCACCTTTGATATAAATAATTTTAAAATAAGTAACATCATTTGTAATTTGATTTTGTTTGAAAATTTTGTAACTTACATGTTATAAGTTCTATTATTATAAGAGAGCTGATTGTGATATTTGTGCCAATTAAACAATAAATGAACGATACTAGGATCAAAGAACGTATTTTCTTTAGTATGTCTTAATTAATAACCTTACATTAATTACCTACTATTTTTTTGATTTCTAGGGAGTGAATAGTTTCAGTGTTTTTACTTTGGAGACTTACTAAACGTTCTTTAAATTATTTAAACAGTAGTTACTGTTTTTTAGCAGTAATTTCAAAATACACCGAAAAAATACCGAAATACCGGTATACCGGTATTTGAAAGTCTAATACCGGTATCAATACCGGTATGAAAATCATTCCGGTATTCCATGCCCTACGGGTGATTTGGTTTACCTGAAAAATCACCTAAGACTTCGCAATACTTTAAGGACCCTATAAAGTAATCAAAATAATGGGCGAAGTACATTAACCTTACTCATAAATATGAGACATGTAAACATCATTACGATGAAATTAAATTGGCCCAACGCCGGGAACAATAAAATATACTTTAACTATATATTATAGAAATTGATAACCACAAAATATAATCAAAACAAAATATATAATGTGGGATTTAGTATGTGGCGGTTTTATTTAATTTTAACAGAGGGTAGTTAACACACTTGCAAACACCTTAAATCTACGCATCTCCCATCTTTATCACACATGCGCTATACAACTATAGCCGTCTCATCTCAATAACGTGCTAAAACCCATTCATGTAAAGACCTCCGCGCCGGACGTTGAGTTTTTCAATACATTTTTTATTGTTTGCGATCGCTTAATAATTTTATATAATTATAGTATTTAAACCTGTACAACGTGTGCAGAAGAACTAAGATGGAGAGGAAACAAGGTACGGACGTATGCTCCAATC